GGGGGGGGAGAGAGAGAGAGAGAGAGAGAGAGAGAGAGAGAGGGAGAGAGGGAGAGAGGGAGAGAGAGAAAAGCATGACAGAAGCGTCACGCCTGGCATCAACGTTTAACGTCTGTTACGCTTCAATGGAAAAAGCAACTTCTTCTTCAGAGATCAGACCGGAATCAGGTGTTGGAGCTCCACCGGGCCTCTGTCTCCAGTTGCTTCCTTCACGAGGCCGGCCGGAGCGAGAGGAGCAACACGAGCCTCTGGTGAGGGATAAAGGCTGCATTGTCTCAGCTGCACGATGAAGGGGCAAGAAAGCAACTCCAGGTTTCACAGAGAAGTCTCGCTTGTGCGCTCTGGCAAAGTGAACTACTCAGACAATCAGAGGCATGCACTCTCCATCGCATCGTCCCCATGGCAACAGCAACTGCCGGTGTGATTGTATGGAAAGTGGTGTTTCTGATAACTTGTCACACATAAAAAAAGAAAAAGTCTGGCGAGCAGAAGACTGGTGTTGGCTGCTGGAAATATGGATTTTTTAATAGCGGTTTAAAGTAGGTGATTATGGATAAGGCGGAGGTAAAGTGTGTCTCCTCTGGTGAGTCAAAAACATCAGTTAAAGCTGCTTAAACTTACATTTTTAAGTGGTTTCTCTTTGGGATGAACCTACCAGGGTGCAACCTGCAATCTCTCTAGTGTCCACCAGGGGGCGACTCCTCTGGTTGTATAGAAGTCTATGAGAAAATGACTCTACTTCTCTCTTGATTTATTACCTCAGTAAACATTGTGAACATGAGTTTATGGTCTCAATCTCTAGTTTCAAGTCTTCTTCAATACAGCATGATGTTCATTTAGTACATTATGGTCCATTTAGAGTCACACAGACCATAAAGCAGGGGATGCTTTAGGGCGGGGCTACACAGTGATTGACAGCTCACTGCCGCTACCAGAGACGTATACAGCGCTTCGACGTCACTCTTCCGCATTTCAAATATGATAACAATGTTCATCGGTTGCAAAAAAAGCAAAGATGGCGACGGCGCAATCGTCGAACTCGAGGCTTCTTACTGTCACGATGACCACGTCCACTTCTGTGGTCAGACAAGATGTATAGGAAATATCTAGAGGTAGTTGTAGTTCTTGGTAGTTTAATCGGGATATTGGTCCGTAATCAGAAAGCATTGAGGAATGATATCCTGCAGTGTCAGACAGCTCACACACCACAGTCAGTTTATTGATTGTCGATCATCAGCATGTGTTTCTCTCCAGGATGACCGAGGTGATGAACTCTCTGGAGCCCAGCGCGGAGGACTTCAGCGGGGGTGGAGCTGGAGCAGATCAGGCCGCAGTATCCTTCCAGATGTGTGTGTGTGTTTGTGTTTAAATGATTTCTAACCAGTCCTGGTTTGATTGGAGAAGAAAAGATACAGTGGTGAGTCACAGGAGCGATGAGCAAGAGTAAAATGTGGGTTGACCTGACGAAAGTCGTCACTCACTCATGCTTTATTTTATGATGCCGGTGTATTGACTTCCTTTGGTGAAAACAGCTCAAGAAAACTACAATGAAGTGGACTAAGAAAATATGTTAGCACTGATTTGGTGGTTTGCAGGTCAGAACATTTAGGCTTAATTTGGTTGTTTTTTTAGATTCAGGTCTCACATACAGCTCCTCATGTCAAGACAAGTTCAGAGTTATAGAGCATGTGTTAAAGAGGCTTTAGCTTTTAGCTTCTTTATACAAAGTCTCAGCTTTATACATCCTTGTTTTACCAACGATGATTTTAGATACAAATCTAATTAGAAAAAATGAAAGATAACATCACCTGCCGATGCACATGTCAAGTTCAAAGAGATCAAAGTCGGAGAAGTCCAGCAGTTAATCTTTCATCTGACATACACAGTTTTCCTAATCCGGTTTTTACCGCATTGTTGTTCTTTCACATGTGCTGTGAGAGATTCCTCAAATATTGTAACCCCCTTCAGTTGAACCTTACATGAGTGTGAAACAGATCTTCCCAGATACCCATGAAAGGTATCCAAAGCTGTCCAAGAGGCTTCCCTCCATCGTGGTCGAGCCGATGGACGGAGCCGAGGTGGAGAGCGGCGAGCTCCGCTGGCCGCCGGACGAGCCAAGCTCTCCGGACGCCAGGACCGAGAGGCCGAGTGCGGACGAACAAACTGCAGGTGAGGAGGAGCGTGAGGTCACTGAGGGTTTGTTTTCCTTTTGGTGTGTGAGGCCAAAGTGGGAACGCTGACCTGGTTTCATTTTTGTAATTTGGCTCATTTAGATTCAAAGGGACAACGGATTTATAAACTCAAGTCAAAAGCAGAAGAAGTACTCTGATCCTTTACTTAAAGGTCCAATGTGTAGCATTTAGGGAGATCTACACTGATCCTACCATAAACTCATGTTTACAATGTTTACTGAGGTAATAAATCAAGAGAGAAGTAGAGTCATTTTCTCATAGACTTCTATACAACCAGAGGAATCGCCCCCTGGTGGACAGTAGAGAGAATGCAGGTGAAACGTGGAGAGGGGCCTCAACTGGACACTTGATTTTTAAAGAGATTTCAAGTCAAAAAGATTTGGAACCACTGGTTTAATGTCTAACAATGTATTTTAATTCATAAGCTTATGATATGTTATTTATTTCTTTCATTTAAGATCATAATCTGCAAAGTAACTAGTAACTCCAGCGGTCAAATAAATGTAGTGGAGTATAAAGTATACTATATACTGAAGTACCCTGATAATTATACTAAATCTCAGCACTTAGTTAACATATTTAGTTCATTTCCACCACCGGCTGTGTTCACCCCGTCATACAAACAGCTGTCCTTTGAGTGTTTCTCCAAACATGAGGAGCTGCTGGCCTTCATAAATTAACATCCGTCTCTTTAATCCCATAAAAGGTTATTTCCTGTAAAGACTTCCTGTAGTTCCTTTAATGACTCACTTTGCTGTCATTCTCACCTGAACCAAACGACACAAGTACAGTGATGTACCGTGGCACAGAAATCTGATGATGTGCATCACCGAGTTGAAAAATGAATTGTTATATCTAGGCGGTCTGATCATTTGTCTCCCAAACAGGACTCTGCTGGAGTCTTTCAATTCAGGATAAATGCAGTTCTCCACTTCGGCTGAATCATTAGAGCGAACACATTTTCACCTCAGCTCATTTGTCCAGTGTGGATCTGCATCTGACTCTTGAGAACCACTTGACGTTGTGAAATGCAGCTGAACAGCAGAACTCACCCCATTTGATGTAAAAAAGTTGGTATTTGTGGCCAACAAAGCTGTTAGAGACTATTAGTCCACTTGAGTTCAGACATTTGTGTTTATTTTGAAGAGGAAATTCTCGCTAGACAGTTTTCATTTTGTTTTTTTAAATCTATTTATCTAATCTTATCTAATTAAAGATATGGGGCCTGTGATTTGCAACATGATTTGCGAGATAATTTTCCCTCCTATGGATTTTTACATAACAAACCAAAACACACTCCATATTTTGCAAGAGCATGCTGGAGGGTTGCAAGACTATATCAACATTTTGCAAGAAACATTCATTCGTGAAATGTGTTGTTGTCGTCGTTTGCAATCGTCATTTTCAGCAGAATTCGTACATTCAATTTATTTCTAATCCAAATCCATCTAATTCATGTTCCCCAGAGGAGGAATCCCACTGACTGTGGTGATCTGCTGACTCTTCCTGTAGCGCCACTATGAGGTTGACATTTCTTGTTTTCAGTAAACTACTATGAAGTTTAGTAGACATTCGTGTTCCCCAGAGGATGAAGTGTGATAACTCGATCATCTGATAATAACGTGATCATCTGACTTTTTTACATCGATCATGAGGTCGAAATTGTAATTTGTCAAATATTTTGGTCTATCACCAAATACCTGCAAAACTAATGAACTTCCCATCAGCTTTAGCTTTACTAATGTTACCATGCTAATCTAAGAGCATGGCACGCATGTTCACCATCTTATCTTTACACCTGCAAAACATTGATTAACATCTGATTAATGTTACCGGTGGTGGACTGTGAGAGAACACGCTCCCTCTTTTATTCCTTTTACCACCTTCCTGAAAAGATCGATGTTGAGATATTTGTTCTTATCCAAAAACCTGTTTTTACCCAAGTCTTTCATAATGTTTAAAAATAGGTGTGTTTCTCCTTCCGACAAGACATTTTCTTTTAGGCATGAATCTTAGTGTTAGCTAGCTGGTTTAATGTTCAACGCACAGAGCTGGAAACAGGGAAGAGGCCGTGTGTCACATTCTGCCATCAAAACCCAGATTGAGATGCATATTCTGAATGAACTGTACAGACGTCCAAAGAATGTTCCTAAAACCAGACTAAGATCAGCACATCCTATGTCTTAATCAAAGAATTCTCCATTCGGAATTAGACCTAATTCGGAATATCTAAACGAAATATGACGTTTACACGACCTAAATTTGGTATATTGTCATATTCAGATTTATAGCTATATAGTGGCCATTCGTCCGAAAATGGCTGCTAGCATGTCTTGTCTTTGTGTCGATGAATGTGCAGAGTACTGTAGTCCTGTTAAAGGACCTGAACTTAGACCTGGAGAATGGTTCAAACTCTGTGTTATATCCCGTTGAAGGATTGGTGAGTGATCGAGTTTGTTTGTTTTTTTCATTCCTAGATGAGGACCAGTCGAACGTCGGCGTGGACGAAGAGGCTTCAGCGGCGGAGATGCAGGACTCCAACTGAATAAACTACCCTCCTGCGTAATCCACAGTTACTGTGAGTGTGTTCAGACTTGGATGAATGAAAAAGAGTCTGATAGAAGAGCACGTTGCGTTGGTAAAAAAGATCACAGAGACTAGAGAGGGTAGAAAAACAGATTCCCAAACCCCAGCTCGCGGGGGGCTTGGAGCCAGAGTCGTGATGGAGAGTTTTTGTTTTTGTGTAGGCTTCCTCTTCCTCTTTTTCTTCTTCTAATGATGATGACGGAGGTTGTTCTGACAGCTTATAAAGATCATCTTGAACCTTATCCAGTTTGCCTTTTGGCTATTTTCTTTTCACGAGAAGCTGCCTGAAAATGAACAAAATACACTTTAACTTTTGGCAGAAGACGTGTTTTCGATGTCAGAATTCAAACACTTAATCTCCAGATTAAATTTGTTTTTCTTCCCCCCATCTAATATGACTGTTCTTACATTTACAGCTTTGTGATTTTGATATTTTAAATTTGATGAATTAAATGTTCACTCTCTGGCTCCAAGCCGTCGCCGTCCAGATGCTCACGATATATCATCTGATCTGGACAGATGTTTCTAAATGCTGTTTAGCTCTTGTGTGCCATATTACTACAACTACTACTACTACTACTACTACTACTACTACTAATGGTAGCTGCTGTACTTTGTGCACAGTTTTTACATTAACTCTAGATGTAAATGACGTCACTGTATGTTAAGTGCTGACTGCTGTAGTTTTGGTGATGCTTGGTCTCACTTTTCACTTTGTAATAATAGCTACGGTGTTTTAAAGAACAGTATTTGAGTAAGAAAGCCTTCATCACTTTATTCGATGTTATTACGACACATTCTTTAATATATTTTGATGTGTTGTCTTTGGTGTTCAAGGGAATGTGATGGTGTTCTGTTTTACTTATTGGAGCAATATGTTCATTTAAAGGCAGTCCATTTTGTTACTAAAGTAAAAAACAATAGCCAGTATATTTTAGACGTGTGTCGTTTGTCACATGACATGATATTTTTTAAAGTACTGGAAGCCTAAATTATTGCACAAGTAATAAACATTTTCAAAATTCTTAAAAAGCTCTTTGATTTAATTGTACCTGTGGTTTTTGTCGGTCAAAAGGAAAGGGGAGGTCCGCTGTGATTGGTTGAGATTCGTTGTCTCCTATAAGTGAAAAAATGTAATGACTATAGTGCTTCAAGTACGGTGGCCCAGAGGGCTTAACGCACTGCAAATTAACAAAACATCTGCACCTATTTCACTACACATGCAAAAAGCACAGATGACAACGGAAACTGTTTCCAGGGGACAATAAAAAGTGATGCACACTTGTCCAAATTGCATTTTCTTCGTCCGAAATTCAAAATGTGTGTACAATGCCTACTGCAAAATGTGACCAGATGCAGGAGGACATCCTGGTATTTTGGGCATAGTCCATGTGACATTCTATGTATTCGGATATTCTAAATCTTTTTCTGGCACACTAAATAATATGGTAGTGTGAATATTGGAACGCACCCGGCATGTTCATCACTGTTTGTTGTCGACAGTGCCACTTTGCACTCTCTCAAGTCGCCGTGCATTCAGCTCTCAGGACCAGCGTACTGAAAGTGAGAGCAGCTGCTGCTTCTTTATTGAAGCTGAGACACATCTGCATCCAACACCTTTATATATATAGCTCAACAAAATCTTTAAATTAAAGGACTCTGGATCACGAGGGGAAAGAAAAACTAAGTTGTAGTAAAAGAGCCCTGATACATCGGCTGATCAAGTCTTGAAGTCGAAGTGAGATTAAAATTACTTTTTCTTAAAGGGACAGTGTGCAGGATTTAGGGACATCTAGTGGTGAGGTTGCACATTACATTGGTTTGTGGACTGACGTTTTGAAGCTTCGAGTTTGGCGATTTTGCCGTTGTCATTTTTTCGCAACCAATGCAGCCTGTCAATCACAGTAAGCCCCGCCCCAAAGCATCCCCTGCTTTATGGTCTGTTTGACTCTAAATGGACCATAATGTACTAAATGAACATCATGCTGTATTGAAGAAGACTTGAAACTAGAGATTGAGACCATAAACTCATGTTTACAATGTTTACTGAGGTAATAAATCAAGAGAGAAGTAGAGTAATTTTCTCATAGACTTCTATACAACCAGAGGAGTCGCCCCCTGATGGACATTAGAGAGAATGCAAGTTTTAAGACGCTTCCGCATCGGCTTCACTGGGCAGAACTGGAGGTTGCCGCCTGGGTGGTGAAAACCTCTCTCTACAGTCAGTGTTAAGTTTGTCCGTTTTCATTTACTGTAGAAACAAGGCAGCGCAACATGGCGGACTCCGCCTCCCGAGCTCCCTATGTAGATATGAAGGGCTCATTCTAAGCTAACGAGAAACACAACTCTTACTTTCAGGTGATTATACACCAATGAAAACATAGTTTATGAATATTATATTTCTGCCAATAGATCCCCTTTAATGCGACACACTTTGCCTTTTAATTGGAGTGAAGTAAAAAGTACAATATGGCCCGCCGAAATGCAGTAAAATTATAAAGTACAGTACTTGAGTAAATGTACTTAGTTACTGGGGACCTCTACTGCTCTGCACTGTAAGGATAAAAACATCACCAAATTAATTAATTGATAAAAACAAAGTAGCACTAACTGGACATCAGAATATTAATCGTAGTACTTCATGGGAAACAAAGACGCTCTGTGAGTTAAGCTCGGCTGTTTGTTCTCTGAGCTGGAGGCTGCTCCATGAATCCAAACTCTGTTCCTGTTTTAGTTTCTGATTTATGTTTCTTTTCCTCACTGTAATTATTCAAGGAAAAGTAAACCCAACATCTGCCGTACCCTCTGCTGCATGTCTCGCCACGGCTAAAGAACAGGAAGCATTTTTTTTTAATGGTGTGGCTTTGTGGGAGTTTTATTCACAAGTCAAACATGGACACATTGCAGCAGATGTTATTCGTGTTCTCAACACTTTTCACTTGGCAGATTATGGCTGGAGCTTTTTATAGAGGAATGGGAATATTGTTTATATTTGTCTTGAAAAGACTATTCAGAATGTCTCAAAAAATCGCATCTGATTAAACCACGTTTGAAGCATGAGATGTTATCGACCCACAACGGCTGTTTTATTTCAGTGTTCACTGAATATTTCGGTGTTTTGGCAAATTTACATACATCACCTTCGTTTTTAGGTGAAATTGTGATGCACAGGACAGGAGTAGAGAGGAGAGACAATAGAGGACAGGAGGAGGAAGACAGAAGGACAGATGATACATGACAGGAGGACAGAAGATAGAGGACAGGAGGAAGACAGAAGGACAGATGATAGAGGACAGATGATAGATGACAGAAGATAGAGGACAGAAGGAGGAAGACCGGAGGACAGACGATAGATATTGATAATGCAATAACTTTAAACTTTAACTACTGATACAATTAAAATATAAGCAAGAAGTTGCAGTTAAACATTTTAAGTGAGTGTTTGTAGTTCCAAGGCTTCATGTCTCAGTGTCTCTTCCTCCTGTCTGTCTCACATAAACAGGCTTCAGACCAACGGGCGACATGCGCGGCACTCCCACGTCCACTTTGTTAGCGCGTTGAGGCTGATACACTGTTAAAGGGCAGCTCGGTGTCTTGATCCAGACAGCGAGATGGATGGCGGGGATCTCCCATCTTATTTATTTCATGCCTCGTTCGCTCTCTCTGGATCTGACCTTTTTCGGATGACAACCTTGTGAAGAGCACTTCGTCGGAGCAAGCGGGGTCACTCCTGGGAAAATGAAGGGCTGCGGGGAGCGAGTGGGGGGGAGGGGGGAGGGTTGCAGTGTCAATTATCTCTCAAATGTCACAAGCTGTTTTTCAGAGGAAGGGAAGACTCATCTCTCCTGTTAAGGACAGCTTTTTTCTTAAGGTGGAAGCTTTTAACATTCGCAGATTTTCACTGATACTGCACTTGAACATCAACAGATACCAGCGTTTGAGCTAAATCACAAGTTCATATATATTACATGTTGGTGCACTTTGGTCCAGATATTCAAGTGTGTTCACACTAATTTCACCGAGCTGTATTCACTGTTATCTAGTAAGCCACACGTCGGCTGGTTTACTACAGCTGCTGTATGATCCCAAAATAAACAGTTTTGCTGTGATTTAATTGCAATTAACGGATAAAAAGGAAGCCGAAATAACTACGTAATAATGCCAGTTTGTGAAAGTCTGAATTCATGTTTAGTTAGTTCTCTCCGAAAGACTAAAACGAGCCGTGGAGTAGTAACGTTACGAAGCTTAGAAAGCCAGAGTTCGTGAGTAAAATTGAACAACTTAATGCTATTAATGCTAACTCTGGTCACAGCGCAGGGAAGCACATTGAGGGACAATGATGAGGGACAACTTTGTTCATTTATTTTCTGTAACCAGTGTAGCAGCAAAGCACGGTGGAGTTAGCAAGCTAGCTAACTAGTGGACAGCTGGCTAGTTAGCTAGCTTGCGACACTGGTTTAACAATTTATTTTATGCTAATCATGCCCTTTTTTCTGCGTTCCCTATTTTTTCTTTGATTCTTTCCTTTCTTAATTTTTCCCCATTTTCCTTCCTTGTTTTGTTCTCCTTCCTCCTCTGTTTCCTTTTCTACTCTTTTACCTTTTTCTTCCTGGTTTTGTTCCTCTTCCTTCCTCCCTTCTCTCCCTCCTTGCTTCCTTTCTTATTTTCTTCCCTTTTACCGTTTTCTTCCTAGTTTTGTTACCCTTCCTTCCCCCCTTCTTTCCTTACTTCATTCCTCCATTTTTCCTTTCTTCCTTGCTTGTTTCATTCCCTTTTCCTTCCCTTCTCAAATATCTGACTGAAATTAAACTAAATCAATATTGTGTTTTTTCCTTTGCTCAACATTTTCCCTGGAGATGAAACAACTCAATCTCCCATAAATAACCATTATTTTGTATCTCATGTGTCTGCTGAAGGATTCATTCATGTTCAGTTCAGAACAAAGACCACACGGACCATGCCAGAGGCCACTTGTAAATCGGTGTATTTAAAAGTACCTTTTAACACGGCCATTAGAGCCGCTGAGTGTTGTGAGGGAGTTGTGTTTTGATGATGTCAAAGTGTGCTGTGCCAGGACTTTCATCTCCCACTCCTGCTGGCTTCAAACGGGTCTTTCAAATGTGTCCGTGATATTCCGAGGTAACGCACAGCCGCCCTCCGTCTGCAGCCTGGCGCCGTCCTCCATCAGCTCGCCAAGACCGGATAACAAGGTTTTTACTTTGGCTGTAAGGTCAAACCTATCGAAGACAAAACAAGACGCAGTCAACATGAACTACAATACAGAAAACATTTATTTAAACAGCTGACACTGAAAAGTGACGCATCATTTCATTTACTGTTTGTTTATAATAAAGTTTAAACATTTAGTTTATTGAGGACTTCAGGATATTTTGCCACCATGACAAATAAATATTTCAATTGAAACTTGAAAAGCTTCTCATTTCGAAGACATATTTTTCTTGTTATAAAAACTAGTAAAATATTGAGTTTTTGTTTTGGTTAAATTAGATAAATCTGTCCTCATACCAAGTATTGATCTGCTTGGGGCAGATTCTTTGAAAAGTTCAGTGACATAACAAGATAAAGTGATATGTTGTTAAAGAATAATGACCTTTTATTGAGCTGAACAGGGATGCTAATAATGTAGCTTTCTGCTAACCGTAGCTGCTGCTGTGAACCTTTGGCTGCGGTTAGCAGAGGCTAAACTATTAACATAGCAAAAGTCTACTTCTCTCTACTTCTCTCTTGATTTATTACCTCAGTAAACATTGTAAACATGAGTTTATGGTCTCAATCTCTAGTTTCAAGTCTTCTTCAATACAGCATGATGTTCATTTAGTACATTATGGTCCATTTAGAGTCAAACAGACCATAAAGCAGACTACTAGAGCCGTATACGGCGTCTCTACGTCACTCCTCCTCAGTCCAAAAATGGTAACTTCTGTCACCGGTGAATAATCCAAGATGGCGACAGCCAAAACGCCGAACTGGAGACTTCAAAACGGCTGTCCAAAAACCAATGGGTGACGTCA